GGCAGAATGTTCGAATGAATAGTCGATGTTCAGACACGGGAACTTTTGTTGCGGCAACTGGAAGCTTGTAGGGGACAGAGCGACGAGGAAAGGGGACGGGTACAAGTTCTCGTTCTCGGGCAGCGTTGCCAAATAAATTTCAATTGGGTCATTCCATTGAAAGGAGGAAAACGACATAAATTTAAGTATGCCCTATCTATCTGTATTATCATTACATAGTGTAAGATCTATGACTTCCCTACGGTTTTTTTTTTTTTAACAAAAGTATGTTCTGAACTACAATCTATCGTTAGATTAGTGGTTAAGAGGTAGTTAAAATAGAGGCCTCGACTATTGATCGGGGAGCTCGAACCCACTGCACGCGGTGAACGTTAGCATCGCCTCTGATAAGAACCAAGCCTGTGCTTTATCCGTCCATCAGTCTGCGAAACAGAGATTGCGGAGGTTCATCAGCGTCATAGGTCATGCAAAAGGAAGCCAGCGCATTCTACTTTGCCATTACAAAGGTTCTAATTTTATCTCTATTTCGATCCACCAGATGCTCGAAACCTGCCGTGCCCAGGCCACATACCCTTTTGTTGTTCACCGAAGCTTCCTGGATGAGTGCTATATCGACGTCGCCTCTTCGACCCGTAGGACCCTCCGATCGGTCGTTGGAAGAGCCAGATTCATCAACTGTAGCATTCTTAAGATGCTCTCCGGTGATGACGGCGTAACCGGCACCCACGTTGTAGACCTAGGTCTGACTGGAATGTCCTTCCAGTCCAGCACTTCCTGATTTTCTCCGGCGGCATTATGCAGTGCCACCGAGCTCGAAACATCGCAAGCCATCACCTTGATGTGGCCATGGGGGAGGGATTCCAGGGTTCTCCAACGAGACGTCAAAAAATGACGTTTGCTAGAGCCGCCTGCATCCACCTCCATTGGCCCCGAGGGATGGAGCCGAGTGCTTTAAGTCGTACAGATTATTTGCTCGATGAACACTTATTATGTGTATTGACTATGAATATTGTCACTGTCACAAATTAGGAGTTTCGATTTAAAATAGGAACTTTTTCGTAAGGATTATTTTTATTTCAAGTAAATTTTGCGGGTTTTTTGCGAAGGCATGCACTTTGTGCTATATAAATTTGTTGTAAATAAATTTTCCTAAAGTTATTTGAACTCATAATTTTGTATTTTAATAAAGGTGAATGTCCCTATTCAATAATTAGTAGATTTTTTTCGCCAAAATTATATGATTTCGTCGTAGAGCAAGTTTCCTGACTGAATAGTCATAAAATGCTTCTGCAAAATCTATTTTTGACTAATCAACACCAATAAGAATGTCCCATCCAAAGGCACCGGTTGATCAGAGAGAAAGGCGCC